ACTTTGTCTTCTGTCTGTACTTTATTCATTGTTTCTTTCACCATCTTGTTCATAAAATGTCCTTAATTTTTTCTCAAACTTTTTTTAAATGGTTTTTTACATTAAATCAGATCAGATAGGCCCCTCTCCTTGTGTGTTTCATCATTTTTGTTTCCTCTATGCAGCCCTTTTGCATGGTCTTCTTTTGTTTTTTGTTCTTTGTTTCTGATCAACAACACTATTTGCTCTCGATCTCAGTACCTTAATTAATTCTTGTTTTCTTTGAAAACCTGGAAGTCTCTTTGCTTCTTCTGCTTTTATGTCGCCTAGAACATTGTGCTGCGCCAGACTGCAAAGTGCAAATGAATGGAAAGTAAAAACAAATTATTAATATCAATGCTTCTCTCAGGATTCAGATGTTCCTCATCAAAAGCCTGTGAACTTACCACAGCCTTTTCAAAGCACTGCAAACGGTAAAAAAGAAAAGAAAAAAAAAAAAAACACTTGTTATTGATTCACTTGTTCTGATGAGATCATTTCCTGATCACATGTCTTTATGAAAGTGCCAGTCCCTCACACCCCAGATATATAATTTAAGTGTATATAATATTATCAAAACATATCTTGAAATCTGAACAAGTTAACCTTTTTGTAAAAAGGGTACGAACTTTGACTTAGTACTAATTAACTTGTCATCTTATTGTGCAAATTTAGAAATGAATTAATTACCCATGTTTTGCTTCTTACCTCTTTAATTTTCTACTTGCTTTTAACTTTTATCTTGCATACATGGCCTTCCAAATCTTCATATGAATACGAAAGAAGCCAAAAGAATCAAGGTTCACTTTGTACCTATCTTCAATTTTATGAGTTCAATTTTCTATAATCAATTATCTACCAGGGACTGTGAAAACCAATAAAAGCAGTGGAATTCATATATGCATCTATGTGTATGTTCAGTAAAACCCAAATATGGTACATGCACCTTAATTTCTCTTTCTACATAACAACTGGTTTAAAATTCCTACTAATGAAATAATGAATTAATTGAAAGCAAATTAGAGGCTTTGATTATGAATTTCCCATTTCAACCATGATTCTGATTTCATGTTAATGTGTTAAGAATTTATTATAAAACTGATTTATATGTTTTTAACCGATGTGGGACTTCTAATCCAAAGAACTAACAACACTGTGAATTCTGTTTCATTAATCTGATGAATTGATTTTCAGATGCATATGTGGGGACATGGATCTCAATACAGAAAGGGGCCTGATTCTCTGAAAGGAACACAGCCAACAGCTATGCTGAGGCTTCCATGCTTTTGTTGTGCAGCAGGTTGCAAGCACAACATTGACCACCCAAGAGCAAGGCCTCTGAAGGATTTCAGAACCCTTCAAACACATTACAAGAGAAAACATGGTATTAAACCCTACATGTGCAGAAAGTGCAGCAAAGCATTTGCAGTAAAAGGTGATTGGAGAACACATGAGAAGAACTGCGGCAAAATATGGTATTGCTTATGTGGGTCTGATTTCAAACACAAAAGGTCCCTAAAAGACCACATCAAGGCCTTTGGCTATGGCCATGGTGCTTTTGGCATTGATTGCTTGCAAGAAGAAGATGAAGCAGCTTCTGAGATTGAACACGATGGAGAACATTCAATATGAAACTCAGAAAAATAAAAAAACATATATAAAAGGGTGAACTGTTATATATCCAGTTTCACATGCATGTTTGTAATAGACTCGACCTAGTGTCTACTTTTCTTCTTTTCAGTTTTGTTTTTCCATAATCATGTGGGTTGCTACCTTCATTTTAATTAGCAGTATGTACTATTTTAATTATGATCCTCCTTCTTCCTTTTTCTCCAGTCTGTCATGCTTTAATACACCAATCTTGAGAATATAAACATACACATATAAATGTACATTGTACATTTCAGTGTCTAGGGTTTGTGTAGAATTCAAATGAGCAAAATCACCATGGTAATGCAAATTACTTTCCTGCAATATATTTTTTATTTTCTTTGTAAAAATTTGTTTGTGATTTTACTATACACAATTTTTTTCTGCTTTTGCTGAATGAACCAATTTCTGATGTGTTTATCATTTTAAAAGACAACCCTTCATAAATTGTTCAACTTTCAGTTAGCAGATCTGCAGATAATATTTTATGAATATCAGCACATTAAGCACCTGCAATGGCAGCATCAAGCCTCAGAAAGCAAGAATGTGTATAGACAGAGTTCTGATATAATAAGTATTAGGTTGGAGCATAAGTAGATAAAATGTGTGGTTACATTGAAAAACAAAACATCATTTATGACCAAATGAACATATAATAGTTAACTTAAGTTGATTGATTGAAGAACAGTGTTATTAGTTCTGATGACATTGTATCTAACACTTGGTTTGATAACGGTAAAATAGAGAGTAGAAAAAAAAAGTGAAAATGAGAGAAAGTATATTGTTTAATTAGAGATATTTATTTACGCAATACTAATATACATGTAGAAAGATAATAAAATTTATAAATTTATAGGATGTATAATGACATAAGAAAGAAAAGACAAAGAATAAATGAATATTTATGATAAATGTTCATAAAACTGTAATAGATAAAAAAAGTGTAGGAAAAATATTTTACATAAAATATGTGAAACTTATTTTAAACAATTTCTGCACAAAAATCAAGAAATACATGAAAGTTGTGCCTTGAAAAAAATTTCCATAGTCGATTATGTTTCCTCTCATTCCCTTTTTTTCTGTTTTTGCAACATTTTGTTTTGTAATAATAATAATAATAATAACAATATATAATAATAATAATAAAGTAAGTAATAATAATTAAATATCAAATAGTGCTAAATAATTAAAATCAAGTAATATAAAAAAATATTTTTCATTTTATCTCTCTCCTCCCGAACAACTTTTATTAATTATATTTATTTTCTTTACTTAAAACTACCTGCTTCTTTTTCTTATACTTTTTTTTCCTCAATCAAACACACCCTAAATTCTATATATCCAAAATTATTTTAACTTGTTTGGGATTTCAGCTAAAAGTGTATTTAGTCATAGATGTATTGTTAATACTTTAGATATCAATTAAAAATTAGTATAATTATCTAATAAACAAGTCGCTTTTTAAAAGTTTTTTTTTCATATAACATGCTAATATCAAAAGTGGTAAAAGTTATTAACAATTCATATATTAACTAAAAAATAATGTTATCGTCTAATAAAACTCTCATTAAATACATGTTGTATCAAATATTAGAATTCACTGTATATAGTTTGGATGTTATTGAAATGTTGAAGTAATGTCTGAAAAGTGAAATGATCTGAAAAAGGTTACATTAAAGTGTACCTGGTTTGGGTTGAGTGTATATATGACAGTTTATATTTTTTCCTCTGTAAGCAAAAGATTTCACTAAGAAAGATAGCCAACTTTTTGCACACAATGTGCCAAAAAAGTTAGTGACAATAACCACATACAACTTATTACTAAGTTGGAATGTTCTAATTTCCAATTTGGTTTCATGTATTCTTTTTCAAATTTATTTATTTATTTATTTATTTTTAATTTATTTACGGCTTTGATATCTTAATATAGCATAGATGTTAAAGTTAGTAACACACTCTAACGTAAACTTAATTAAGAATTGAAAATTTCAACGCAATTCCCAAAATTTCAACACACAAATCCTTAAAATTAAGGTTTTGGTTTTTATTTTCGTTCAAAAATATCAAGTTAGTCTTTCAATTTTTTTAGTCTCAATTTGATCTTGTATGAAAATTGATACAATTTTGGTCATTTTCCTTAAATTCTTTCAATATATAAAAAAATATCAAAATTAAAGTTGTTAATAAGAATAATTTGTCTTGTTAGTGTAATTAACATAATTCAAATCATTGATTAATTTCAAGAAAATTAACAAAAAAAAAACTAAATTGTATCAATTTTTCACAAATCAAGATTAAATTGCATGAATTTTCATAAATTTAGATCAAATTAAAATTAAAAAATTTGAAAGACCAACTTGACTTTTTGAACGAAAAAAAAACCAAATAAGTAATTAAACTTAAAATTAAATGTCAAAAACAAGTAAAAATTTTGCCACCTTCAAGAACAATATCTAGTATGTAACTCACCAAAAGATAGATTATTTACTAGAAAACCAATATGAATATTCAATTTATATATATTGTTAAAATAGTATTTGGATGATTACCATATAATAATAAGTGAACTTTAACTTAACGATCAAATTGAATTGTTTTGAAAAATAAAAAGATTAATTTGAAAAAAATAATAAAAAGACGAAAATGAACAATCAAATAAATTTAAAAACCAAATATATAATTAAGCCTATATAAATATTTCTTTATGAGTGAAATAATTAAAAATTATCACAAACAATAAATACTATTGATCATATCATTAATACTAATATGATTATATACAATGTTATATTTTTTGTGAGATAAATTATACAAAACATAATAACAAATAATCTCAAATGATAATTGTACTATATATAAGTATGAGGTGATCTCGGACCAGGTAGATGATACCATTCGGATTATGTTTGTATGGTCGAAACATTGTAAAAAAGGTTAATGAAAGAAAATTATAATATCTAAGGTTAACCGTTAAAACGTATTAATATTGTTAACTGACACAAGTAAATAAGATTTCTGAAACAGATGCTTCTTATTTCACCCTTTGTAAAAATGAACTACAACTATTTAAAGAAATATGCAGAAGCAAACATCCTACCCACTCCATGCCTGAAGTGGGTGGTTTCCTAAAATTAAGGAGCTAAACTGTTAGCCTCCTATATCTGTGGTCAACATGACCTAAATTTATGGAATTAGAAAACAAAACAATTTAAATGCAAAACAGAATTTAAATAACATTACTAACAATCCCTCCCTTAAACTAAATGCTTGATAAGCATCTAGTTTATTTCTGATGCTTCAATCATGCCCAACATTCTTCTAAACTTCAGAAATTACTCCAGTTTAAGTGGCTTAGTCATCATATAAGCTATTTGATTTTGAGTGTTGCAATAGTCCAACTTGATTCTTCCTTCTTTAACAAGATCTCTTAAAAAATGAAATCTAACATCAATATGCTTGCTTCTACCATGAAATACTGGATTTTCAGATAGTTTAATGGTTGAACTACTGTCACATAAAACCAGAATCTGTTTTGATCTGTTAAAACCAATAGTATCCAAAATTCTTTTAATCCATATGCATTGACATGCACATGATGCAGCAGTTATATACTCTGATTCTGCTGTAGAAAGAGTTACTATTGGTTGCTTCTTGGAAGACCATGAGACTGCTCCAGTTCCTAGAGAGAATATAAAACCTGATATACTCTTTCTGCCATCTATGTCTCCAGCAAAATCATTATTTGTATAAGCCATCAATGTTGTATCTTCCTCCTTTTTGTAGAAAATTCCCAATTCTGTAGTTCCTTTCAAATATCTTAAGATTCGTTTTATTGCAGACCAATGTGTCTCAGTAGGTTGGGCCATAAATCTGCTAATCAGGCTAACTCCATACATCAAATCTGGTCGAGTTGCGGTTAAATACATGAGACTTCCAAC